CAAAACTGCTACTTCTGAATATGTGGAAATGTAGGTGAAGGCATTAAATAACACAGTTAATGCTTTTTGATCTTTCCATTCGAAGTTTTCCTGAATTTTATTTTCGTTAACAGAGCTATATTTATCATCCCATGGGAACAAGAACAATCCTTTCCCCAAAAATATTTATCATTTCAATTCTTTATTCCATGCCTTCGTGCGTTTATTTTTCACCATGCACCACTCTTATCTGTGTAGCAAACTTCCTCATGCATTTTGTCATTCTTTTTGGTGTAATATATAAAGTACATTTTTTTTTGGTAGGATGAAAATGTAAATCGATCATTACAATAGATAACAAAATAATTAGTTACTAAAAAATATTAATATTTAAATAATTTTTATTATACATAAAAAATTATAATTTTGATCTTTAATTTAAAATTAGATATTATTTTAGATCATAAATTATTAAAATTTTGGTAAGTAATATTATATAATTTTTGTTTTATAATAGAGATTATTTTAAATGTTAATAGTTTTTAGTTTTTGTTTTAATTTTAAGTTTATCGAGTGATATTTCAAGATTATCGATATTGTTTGTTTGAGAGCATGATCTTTACGATTTTATTTTTAAAAAATAAAATAGTTGACTTTTACTTCTAAACGATTAAGAATGAAAGAAAGTAGAATATTTTTTATCTCAATTTCTAAAGTATCTGAAATTATTGGATATTATCTCTAAAATTAATTGTTATTTCATGATTAAGTATATCTTAATAATTATTTTTTAAAAAAATTATTATTTGATCAGTGTATTTGTTAAGAGTTTCTCAAAATAAATAAAACATGAAATGAGATGTTTTTAAAAATAAATTAACATATAGTAACGATTACGTTTTTAATTAAATATTTTTAATACTTTGACCGATATAGTTTGAAGACTCTAATCAAATTGGTGAGTCAAGAATTTGACTCCTTTAGGATGAGAGGAATACACTTCAAAGGTTAAAGTAGAGTATAATAATGCGCATTAATTATAAGATCAATGTTGATATTTATAATTAATTATATATTTTCGTTAAATATCTATTTGATTATCCAATTAACAGGTTTGAATTTTATCACAATTTTAAATTGTTGATTGATGGTTAAATATATATCTAGAAAAATATTTTTGTGGGGGAGTTTTCGAAACTATCATTTATAAAGAAAGTACCCAATCAAGATTTCTACATTAAGATTTAAAAAAAACAAATAAATTTGAGGATGAGAATCAATAGATATTTTTAAAAAATAAAACATTAACACGATTAAAAAACTAATTATCGAGGAAAATGATAAAAAGCCTATATCAAGTCTTTGATTAATATGATACATATTTCTTTGAAAGTTTGATCAAGTAAAATCTAGAAAAATGCAATCACAATAAACTCGTTAGAATTGACCCAAGCTCATTATGGTATATTAAGAGTTTTATTATTAGCAAATCCTCTCACATTCTAAAAAAAAGTCCATAAAACTTTGATTGTTTTTTAGAATTTCTTGCTTTGTAGGATTTAATATTAATATTTTTTAGAGATCTTCTCCTGCCTCCTTTCCTAGTAGTTTGAACTTGTTTATTATTATCTTTTTATGTAGTAGAATATTTTTCCTCTTCCACCACATTAACCCACTTAAAAGCTAATTTCAATTCTTCTGCAAGGCAAACCTCCTGAGACGTAAAAGAATTAAGGATTATCTTATTTGGAAGAGGTGAAACATGTAACTTTTTTACTTAATGGTGATAGTGCTCTTGGTTCAGATGACTTTGGTGGATGTTTTTATCACTCTTTTTGTGAGATTGTTAGTGTTAACATTTGTAAAGTTGTCCAACAATTCTTTCGACATGGTTGGATCCTCCCTAGTATGAATTCAAATATTGTTTCTCTTGTTTATAATGTTGAAACGTATAATTAACTTTCGTCCTATAACAGTGACTAACTTTTGTTTCAAAATCATTACAAAAATTTTAGTTAATAGACTTGGAGTGATTGCTAGTAGAATTATTTCTCCTAATCAAAATGGTTTCATTAAAGGGAGGGATGTTAAAGATTATATTTGTATTACTTCTAAAGCTATTAATCTTTTATCTAAAAAGGTCAAGGGTGGTAATATAGTTATTAAAATTGGTATAACCAAGGTTTTTGATACTATCAATCGACATTTCTTTTCAAATTGTGTTGTTTTGGTTTTCATTAAGGCTTTTTTTACATGGATTCTTTGTATTTTACAATTTGCTCATCTTTCTATCCAGGTTAATGGTGGCTTGGTTTCTTACTTTATTCATGATAGAGGAGTTAGGCAGGAGGATCCTCTTTCTCCTTTGCTTTTTTGTTTTGCTAAGGAGGTTTTGAGTAGGGACATCTCAGCTTATTTCCAAAAAACTCATGCTTCCTATGGTTGATTTTTGGGGATACAATTTTCTTCTCATACTCTTTATGCTCGTGATATATTTTGCCTTTTGTAATTAAAAGAGACACCAACACCCCTGTAGCATTTGAAATCTTTCTTGCATGAGTATGACACTTTCTCTGGTCAATGAGTGAGTCTTGCTAAAGGTAAATTTTACACTCTTGATGCTTTTGCTTCTTTTGTTAGATATCTAAAGAGGCTTCTCTCTTGTAATCAATGATATCTTCCTTTTATGTATTTTGGTGTGCCAATTTTTGTGGAGGCTCCTAAGGCGCGATTTTTTCAATCTTTGATTGATTAGATTCATAATAACTTTGCTTTTTAAAAAGGAAAATTTCATAGTACGATGGGGAGAATTCAACTAGTAAATTTTTTAATTGTCACTTATTGTTTGTTCAGCCTATACTCACTGAAATTTTTCTTCTTTTATAACTAATTTATATAAATTTTATTCTTTAATGGTTACTAAGGATGAGATGTGCCTAATTGGATTATGGATGATATTGGTGTATTTTATCAACAAATTGCAAAAAAAAAAAAAAATCTCTTCTGATGTAGAATGTGTGAAAAAGAACTTGATTTGGTTAAATGAGATGCCACCAGCTAAAACTTTGATTCTTTGGAAGCTTTTATATGGTTGTTTACCTGTTGATATAGAGATTAAGAAAAATGAGTGATTTTATACTCTATGTGTTCTTTGTTCTATAATAATGTTGAATATTTCTCTTATTTGTTTTTTCATTGTTCTCTTGCTATATGGTTGTGGAAATGATTGAATGAAGTTTTTCAGAATTTACAGTTTTCTTCTTTGGATTTAGTTGTTTAGTTTATGAAGTTTTCTTGTAGTCATTTGCTTAAAGTGATTGTTATTACTGTAGTTATTTAAATGACTTGGAAGATGCTGCAGTTATTTAAAAGATTTGGAAGATGAGAAATCATAGTATATTTCAAGATTCAATTGCATTTTCTTGTACTGCTTTTCAAATTAAGAAGTTAATGTGTATGATTAGGAATAAATCTAAGAAGCATATAAGTAATACTATCATCTATGATATTTTGATGTTAAAATTTTTCAATATTCAAACTATGAAAATTATGATGGTTTCACTTCTAGACATAATATGACAAGTTTCATTACCAAATATATTTTAAAAACACAAACAATACAAGAATATCCAATAGAAAATTTAAATTTGTAATGCAACATATTTCTTAGTTTTAAAAAAAATGAGAATGAAAAAAATTGAAACCACTTATTTTTTACAAAAATATTTATATTAAATTTCACTGTAATAATATCACCCGAGAGAATGATTAAAATAATCGTAGTCCAAAATATGTATACATGTATTCGTAGATCGGTATTTCATTTTTCAGGCCTAATAAACCTCGTGATTACCACGTGGGGATCCAAAATTTCATATGTTTTTGTTGGTTTTGATCAATTTTATTCAAACTCATTGTTTTATGTAGTGCAGTTCTTTTTATTATTATTATAAGTTTCTTGCTAGCTTTTGTTTACTTTTCTTAGTCTTTGTCAGTCAACTATACTACATCTATTAAACAAACCCTATCAATTTAATATTAACCATTCATTAAATGCTAATCAAATTAGTTTACATATTTTGATATTATTAGTCCTTCGACTTTTATAATACGTAAAAGTAGTTTTTCTTGGTATTTAAATTTAATATTTGCTAGTGAGTTTCTACTATTACAGTTAAAAAAAAAGACTAAATTCACTTATTTTCTACAGTTTGAGAACTAATTTATTGATTTAAAGTATATAAAACAAATACAAAAAGAATAAAAACACATTTATAAACAATGCATGGTATTGTTAAGTTTAAAAAATTCTAGTAAGTGTTCTTCATCTAATAGATAGATTAAAAGTAAACAAAAAAATGTTAAAAATATTACAATACAGTTTCATCATACATTTTAATAAAAAGTCATTTAATGTTAACCCTGTCATTCTGCCTCGAGCCCACAAAGGAGCAGATTTATTAGAAGTTCAATTGAGGAATTCAAGGTAACATTAACAATTTCTTACACGTTAAACAAAGAATGAATAAGAATTAGCTAAATTGTTATGCAGGTTGATTGTCATATTTTCTAATTTAAATTGAAGTTTCATGTGGATAATTCTGGTTAATTTTCAAGGTTATTTTATCCTGCGAGTCTTATATAAATTTATGATCTTGATTATTAAGGAAATTAATTAGTAATCTTGATTTCGTAAGTCTTATATAAATTTAAATAATCTATAATAAAAAAACACTAATTCTAAAATTGCTAAAACGAGTTTCTTAATTTATGATGTGAAATTCATAATTAAGGTATACACTTTATCAGTTAAAAGTTCGCTCTATTAACTTCAAATTAATTCCCTAAACAATTTTCTCATAAACAAAACTAACCTATACTATGAAGTTATTTTTCGGATATGTACTAAATATATTAGTGAGTTAAAAAATCTTACAAATATGTATGAATACATGAATTAATGGATGTAGAGAGGTACAACACACATGGATCTCTCCACATATAAGATATTGTCTGTAATATGTAGGTATGTAGCAAAAGAAAGCTAACAGCAGCAGCAACATACAAAATTCTTGGACAGAGAATTCATGTATATTGGTTTCAAATTTCGGGTGTTGTGTATGTTTCAAAAGAACAATCATGTACAACAAAATTTCGGCTTTGTTACTAATTATTGTAATTAATGCAGTAATTGGTGAAGCACCTTGGAGAATAGCCGTGTGGATCTTCTAGGCCGAACTGTCACAGATTTCTTCATGCTTCTTAAGAACATTCCAACAGGTTTATCAGTGCAACTTTGAACCTTTGAGTGTCTGTGTTTCTTCTTCTTCTGATGTTCCATTTTAGATTCCCGATCACCAAACTTTTTAAGCGATTCATCAAATTGGTAGCATCTGAAGGAAACACAGTATGATTATGCTCAAATCACTAACATTAAAGCTTAATTAACTAAGAAAAAATGTTGCTGATGGGAGTAATTACTCTGAATTCTCCCTCCCCTTAACATTTTTGCCCACCTCCTGCAGATAAAGGGATGCTTTATACATTCATCACAAGTGAAATCATAAAAGCAAAGATAAGAATTCGTCCTATGGAACAGTTTTTAGATTGTCAATACACACAAGTTTATATATTATCTTCCCCCACAGACCCTATACTTCATCCCCTTCTGCAACACGCACAAACATAGGATTATAAGTTGTTTTCACAGATATGTTACATAGGATTATAAGAATACTGTCGCAAAAATAGAGGATAAGATGCAAATTATTGAGAGCTGATTACACTAGAAAACAACTAGCAAATAATGAGAAAATAAAAAACCACAGAAATCACTGATCAAACTACAGTGAAAAAGATACCAACATGAATAATAAGCCGAAGTTTACAAATAGAAAGAGTTAGGAAACTTCATTCAGTAATGATGAGATTACTGAATCTTTTAATGATGAGATTACTTTCATATATGTAAACAAAGATCCAAATAGACCTTCCAAATGGAAAGAAAACAAAAAACTATACATTACAAATCTAGAAGGTCAGAGATAGCATAACGCCATACCCGTTCTTCAGCTAATGATGGGAGATTCTTCCCATGAGTATCCAAATTAATCTCCTTTGAATTGCCCTGTTCCTCAACTAAATCGTTCTTAGGATCAACTAAATCCGGGAGTCCACCATCTTCAAAAATTTCATCACCTGGCTATGAATCATTATGCTTTAGTATCAATAGCATTAAGGGTTTTCTCAGATACATCTTTAGCACAAGATTCAGCCCCAGAAATACAATTATTTGGTGCAGCATAGCTAACTAATCTAAGGCAGTGGATTGCTTTTCATTTATACCTTTTCCTTGTGAAGAACACCCTCGTAAGCAACCAAGATCCTGCCGAAGACTCCCACACGCATTCTCACTCAAACATACCTCATTTCTATACCTGTTAGCCCAATACGATGGGGATGAATTCAAATCGACACAAAGGTTAATCCCCTCCTCTGACCACCCATGGTACTCAAAAGAAAGAGGGGGAACATCAGTAATTTCTATCAGTGAAGAACTGAAATCTTTCTCCTGTGAAGAAACACCAGTTTCTACCTCTCCGCGATGAAAACCTTGCTCTGTCTTGTGCCTTGTATTGCCTAAATGAATATCAGACTTTCCTCCAGACAACCTTGTCTTCTTTGAATCTCTATCAGACATTGTATACCCAAGTTGCTCCTGTAATTGATGAACACAACTTCATAAGCATCTTGTTCAAATGATTGTACAAAAAAGAAGAAGAAAGAAATGCAACTAAAGGTTGAAAACTCAATATACACCTCATGTCCCCTCACCCATATCCATTAACTGTAAGTTGGTAACAGACACCATGTGTAACTACTGTCGAATCCATAGTACGAGGAAGCATGAACTTCTTTAAGGTTTAGATCATATTCTTGCAACTTCCTTTTCTTTTCTTTCGTTTTCTTTACGAGGGTTTGTTTTCCATGGCTAAAAGAGTTTGTTAAGACACGCAAAAGCTCTCATTGGTGGCAACGAAATTGAAGCACAGAAGGAATTTGGAGAAAATAAAGAAACAGTTTTTATTTTATTATAAAGAAAGTGGAAAAAAGAAAGAGAAGGAACATGAGTAGTACCTGATCTCAAATCTTGCGGAGAATGTCAGACTCACCTAAAAATGGAAAATAAAGATTTAGAAAGGTTTACCTTTTATATATTTGTTGGCAGAGTCTAAAACCTTTTTTTCAGAAGTATATTTATCCTGTTATTTTATTTTATTTTATTTTATTTTAGGGTTAAATATGTTTTTAGTCCTTAAATTATTGACCGTTTCTGATTTTTATCTCTGTTTTAAAGTAGGATACAATTTGGTCCTCGTTCTTTTCGAAACGTTCGTTTTAGTCCTCGAAAACTAAACACTGTTTAAAAATTTGGTCCTCATTTAACAACAAATGAGGACTAAAACCAATATTCCGAAGACTAAAACGAACGTTTCGAAAAGAATGAGGACCAAATTGTACCTTACTTCGAAAGAGAGACGAAAACCAGAAACGACCAATAATTTAGGGACTAAAAACATATTTAACCCTTTATTTTATTATGATATTTCACGTATTGTAATTAAACTTGTGTTTCTCTAATTAACTTTAAATATTTAGATAAAATTATATTTTAATATATTTATTTGAATTCATTTTCCATATATTTTTAACCTTTATTAACTTTTAAGCTACCTCCAATCTCATCAAATGTCGCTTTGGCCGAGTGGTTAAGGCGTGTGCCTGCTAAGTACATGGGGTTTCCCCGCGAGAGTTCGAATCTCTCAGGCGACGATTTAATATTTTATTTTTATTTTTATTTTCATAATCAACATTTTAAAAAAACCAATAATCATTAAGGGAGTGCTTGTAGTAAATAAATTTTTAACAATTTTAGTTTTGATATACAACAACAATAGACTAATTAATTACTGTAGATGTTATATATTCATTACGAAAACAATAAAATATCTGCAAGGAATTAAATATTATAAAAACTTCTAAAAGTTTATCATTAAGATTATCATATTTCAGATAAGTTTCTAAAAGGTAAATTCAAGTATTTATCAAATAATGATTTGATTTTTTTTTAATATCAAACAAAAATCTTCTTTTAGGTGAGCCATTTGTTTGAAGTATAATTTATAACGAATCATTTATTTTAGAAGACTCTTCAACAAACTCAATTTAATAGCATGTCTTTTAAATCATATCTTTTTCCAACTAATTTGACCTTTTTGGAAAACTAATCACATTTAATTAAGTCTTATTGTGGAATAGGTATGTGTTTTTTTTGTTTGCAAGTTTTTTGTTAATTCCACCTAAACATGATATTTTTTTTTCTTACAAATTTGGTGTTCCGGAATAAAATAACATCCAATATTTCATTTTATATATTTTTTTTACTACTTTTTATAATTTTCTAAGTATTTGTTTATTTGTATATAATCACATCGCTACAATATACATTGTACATATCCATTTAATAAGAGAAATTAAAAATATTTCTAATTTCACTATTATACTTTCTTTGGTAATTACTAGAAGGCACACGCTAAAAAAAGTAGTATTCTATACAAGGTATTTTACATTTCCGATAAATTTACTTGTTTAATATTTGATTATTTGTGCACCTATTAAATAATGAAATTTGTAACCAATAATTTAAAAAATATATATTTTTTATTCTCTTGATTCAAATCGATATTCTTATATACTTTTTTAAAATATTATCATATTTGAAAGATGAGTTTTAAAGGTTTATTCAGAGTTGTGAAATTGTTCAAGATTTTTATGGAAGTGTTAAAAAAAATGTAATGATGTTGAAGATTTATGTGAAGGTGCTGTAAAAACCATAGAAATTGATTTTTTTAATAAAATATTCAAGGCAGAATTACTGTAGCTTCGGAAACGTAAAAAAAAAATGGTGCATGGTCAACCTCATGCAAAATGTCAATTAAATCATCTAACATATTTCTTTATCATTTTGTTTTGGTATAACTTTTTCAATTATAAATTTAGTAGGAAATCAAATTATGTAAAATTTTAACAATAAAGAAAGTAAAACTTTGAAGGTCAATTTAATAATAATAATTTTTTTTATAGAAAATAAAATTCAATCTACAGTCTAAAAGTTTTCAATAAAAAAAATACAATACAATATAAATATAATATATACTAAATTTCAAATACAATTCAAAAGTATAAAAACACAAAATAAATTACTATCTAACATCAAATAATTATTGTTACTTATTCATCTATAATGTTAAAGTTTTAAATGGATAAATCCATAACATAAGAAGGTTTAAGTTTAGGATTTTTAACTTTTAATATGATTTAAAATTTATAGGTAGATTGAAGTTAACATGTCTTATTACAAGTTTAATCATAATAAATTAAATTAAATTTTGTTCCATATCAACATTTATAATTTTTTTAAATTCAATTTCACTAATATGAACCAAAATTACCTATGAATTTTAATTTATTTTGACAATACTATTCTTTTTTTTCATAAAATACTTGATTCTTTTACATATAAAATATTGAAATGAATACAATAAATACAAATATTACATTTCCAATCAAATTCTTAACTTTACGAGTGTCCAATGACTTCTCTTGATAGCATAGGTTTTTCTTTTCATATATAATAACTTTTCATCGATATGAACAATGTTATCCATAAAAAAAATTGAAATTTGGATCATATAAATGCCACCACTTTCCAACATCGATAAAAAAAAAAAACTCCAATAGAATATTTGAATTAATTGTTTATTTAACATACTAATCTTATTTAAAGGGCCTAACCGGCATAGATTATATAAGTAATACACCAACTAAATTATTATAACAATTATTATCTTTATACAAACACTAAAGGCCAAGAAAAATAAGAGAGAAGACATTAAAGGATGCCACGTGTTAGCACCCTACCAAACACGCGGAAATAGGTGTTTGAGTGTAAGTCACTGAAAATAATAATCATAATAATATAATTAAAGTCTCTCTTTATTTTATATTTTATATTTTATATTTTAGATCCGTTATCAACGCTCTTTCACTCACCCCATTGCTTTTTCAAACTTCTCTTTCTATGTTACATTACAACCTTATTTAACTCATCTTTTTGTTTTATTTAATCAATCTTTCTTTTCATGGTTCTTTTTCTAACCCTATTTACCACTATCGATAAGAAAATTAGAATAAAAATTTCCATTAGTTAAAGAGAAAAATATTTAATAAAAAATTAAAACTCGAAATCTTTTACATATACTAATATAAATGATATGAATGATATTAGTAAGATGACAAAGTCGTTTAATACTGGTTGGATTGATATTTTCAATTCTCACTCTTTTTTATGTATTCTTTTTATCCGGTCTATTTAATTCACTAAATTCACAGATTAAAAGTAGGAATCAAAAATTTACATGCTAATCCGTTTCTTTAATTAAACTTAAATGTTAAATATGTTTTTTTCCTTAATTTTTAATCAAAATCAAAATTAGTTTTATTTTTAAATAAATTTAGTCTCTCATATTTAAAATTGCATGAATTTAGTCATTTTAATCAAATTTTGTGAAATTTTTTTAAGATTTTAAACATGTTTCATGATAGCATTTGAATTATTTATCTTTTTTAATACATTTTTTTTCAATACTAGTTATAAAACGTGTTTGAAATCTTTAATAAAATTTGATTAAAAAGATTAAATTCACACATTTAATATGATAGATTAAACTAATTCAAAATTTTAAAAATAGATTAATTCTAATTTTAAGTAAAAATTAACAAAAAAAAACATATTTAACCCTAAAATTAAAAATAGAAATAAATTAAAACTTATATTTTTATATATTTTAAAAAAAATATAAATATACAATAATATTACAGTGTATCAGTAGTTTTTTTAAGTTAAATCATTAACGTATACTTAGATCTCAAAAGCAGGTTTTAGAAGGATTTTACCAGGTCATTGGGTACTCTGGAAGAGAAGAATAATTCAAAAAAATGGTTGTGATTTGAAGGAGGAAAAAAGAATTAATACTTAGCCTCTGATCCATTCAGAGAGGAGAGAGTCATGATTGGCAGACCTACGTTTATTTATTGTATGATGGAACCTCTTCCACGTTCTTTTTTACAACATTTTAACACTGTCTATGTATCATTTTGTGATTGATCTATATTCGTGTTTGTAATTATTATTATTAATTGTGAAATAATTTTGAACCAATAACAGAATGACACATAGACAGTATTAAAATGTTGTCAAAATATCATTGTCCTTATATTAATCACTTCATTAATTACATCAAAATCACTGCAACTCAAATTACAGGTAAGCCAACACCATTCATGGCCCCTTCCAAACCCATTATTTAATATCAACGCGTCTTTCAACAACCAAGTCATAACCATGGTTATGTTTCTTTATTCAAACCAACTGCATTTCACTGCTTTCCCTTCTACTGCACTCAAAAATATCTACTTTCTATCAAACACTCTCTTGCATTGTGTCTCAATAATAAAATACGATTCCTTCGACAACATGAATCTGTAACAAAGCGATAATGATTGCAAAAACGCGTGAAAGATAAAGTCAGTGAAAGAACGTATAGTTTTGTTGGATATGTGAAAAAAAGACGTTTATTGAAAAATACAACATTAATTAGATTTGAATCGAATAACATAAAATATAAGGATTAATATTATTTTCTATCAAAAACAACCTTTCATCTTATATGATATTTACGTATTTAATAATTAATGGATCTTTAATTTTATAAGTTTATCGAAAAATAGATTTATTAAAAAAATACAACATTAATAAAATTTGAATATAATAATTGAAAATACTTTCGGTTAAAAATTCTTTAAAACAATAAATTAATGAGTTTTTAATTTTAAATAGTATTTTTTTCGATCCTATATGGTATTCTATTTTTTTATTTTTATTTTTATTAAGAGTTAATGAATTTTCAATTTTATGTATTCAATAAATGGTACTCTATTTTTTTATTTTTATTTTTATTGAGAGTTAATGAATTTTCAATTTTATGAATTCAATAAATTAATAAATCTTGGACCTTATATATGTCACTTTATTTTTTCATTTTTACTCGGAGTTAGACTCATTCTGAAATTCAATAAAGAGAAAAAAAAAAAAAAGCTAAGTAAAGTGTCGTTGTAGTTGGAATTGGTTTATGTTATATGTGTGTATATATATATGAATGCAACCAACGAAGCTAATTAGCTAACCTAAGAAGTCTTTATTTAGAAGCCAAAAATCTCTCTTCACCGAAGAAACGAAGCACCACAAACATCTGTTCCGATGCCAACTATTATGCTAAGGTTTTTTCTTCTTTACAACCTCCTTCATCCATTTCTTCTGTGTCTGGTTCCTAAGAAGGTGCGAGCCATTCTCTCTCCTTCTTGGTTCCGATCCTCCACCACCACCACAGCACCAACACCAACACCAACACAACCATCTTCTTCTTCTTCTTCTTCGAGTGCCTTCACCAGAATTTCACTCTCGATGGATCCCAACGAGCTGAAGCGCGTGTTTCAGATGTTCGACCGTAATGGCGACGGGAGAATCACGAAGAAGGAGCTGAGCGACTCGTTGGACAATCTGGGTATTTTCATTCCCGACAAGGAGCTGACCGTGATGATCGAGAGAATAGACGTTAACGGAGATGGGTGTGTGGACATCGATGAGTTCGGGGAGCTCTACCAGACGATCATGGACGAGCGTGACGAGGAGGACGACATGCGAGAGGCCTTCAACGTGTTTGATCAGAACGGCGATGGCTTCATCACCGTGGAAGAGTTGAGGACCGTTTTGTCCTCGCTCGGGTTGAAACAGGGAAGAACAGTCGAGGACTGCAAGAAGATGATCATGAAGGTGGACGTCGACGGAGATGGGATGGTCGATTACAAAGAGTTCAAGCAAATGATGAAAGGGGGTGGCTTTAGTGCTCTCACTTGATTTTTCTCCATCTGCTTCCGTTTGCTTTCGTGTTTCGGATCCGTTTTTCTGGAAGCTAATCATTGTGGTTTCCACGTTCGAGAAGTCATCGTTCCATTCTTCAATTCCCATGTTGTAAATAAATCTGGGGAGAAATTGTTACGTGATTTGGGATTAATCTTCAAATGTCAGGTACTTCTGTTATATATACATGTGTCTCCTGAAGATTAGTCCAGAGCATCAACATCTGTGATGTTTTTTTTTTGTTTTTTTTTTATCATGGGAGGGTATAAGATTTAGACCAATCCCATCTCATTCATCTTGTTCTAGGTGTGTAATCTGAGCTCGTGCCTCCCACTTACCATGCATGCCATGTTTTTATGGTTTTGGAAGAGGCAAGCGTCCAGGATTGTGTGCGTGTGTGTGTTATTTTTTCCAATGGACTTTTTGGAGGGTTAGCACCTGGCTTGATAAGCATAAATGAGACGAGCCTTGTTTAATGCAAGGTTTTTTTTTTTTCTTGACTTTGGATGAGGGACATTGAAATCAGGGAACTACTGCTACTGTTACAACGTGTTGTGTTTGTTGAAGTTTTGAGGTGAGAGAATGAATGATTCTATTTTCCACTCTGCAACACTGTGCTGGATGATTCTGTTGAATTTTGAACACCTTTTTTTTTAATCAAGTACAGCGTTGATTTGGGATAAATTCACAGAAAATAAGATGACATGGCTTTAATTAGTTACTTACTATTATTTGGCATGTTTGGTAGTTGGCAAGGCCCGCATATGCATGAATAATGTCCTGCTACAAGCTGCAAGTTTATTTGGCAGTATGTTCGTAAGTCAGCTTCAATGGAATAGAAAACAATGATTTGGACACATTTGCGATTAATGAGCTTACCCCAATGTTTAACCTTCAGGACTCAAGTTCATAGTATGATTATCTTTTAAGTGATATCTAACACGAATTGACAAGATAACAACAAATCATACCTGTACACTGACAATGGAGATAAATTTGACCTTATTAAAAAACTGAAAAGTGATGATTAACCAGAAATTCCAGCTATAATCAATAAATGCGTAAGCAGAATGCGAGCAGGGGAAAGTAGAATCGATAGTTGATGTAAACCACGATCCTACCAACTTGGAAAAGGTTGCGTGATGACCAAGGATCGAAATAGTTTAGTCAAAAGGAAGAATGAAATGGCTAAGTTATACTCACTGCTTTTGGGCAAGAGTAATAAATCATGTACAAATTATAATTTGAGAACCAACATAATCCACGAAATGGTGAACACCAGAAAATGAATTTCCGAGTAAACTATATGGTGCCTGAAGTTTAACTTGAACGGTACATGATCAAACACACTACTTCAAGCAAATCGCATCTAAATGCCGACAGAATAATGCTAGCCTTCAATGTCTAGAAGACGCTTTGACAATCTCAACCAGGATGTCTCCAATGAGGAAACAGGCTATAATAGCACTAATTACCCACCATCTGAATCTGATTTTTCCTCCTCAATCTCTCTAATACTTCGTACTACAGCAGCAACTTTTTCAGAAATATGTTCGGTGTGCTTCTCTAAATCATTCAGAATTATATTTAACTGCTCTTCATATGCAGCACAACGTCGTTTGCACTTTTGCCTTTCATTGTACAACTCAAGTGATAGCTCACGGATTCTCCTATCCTTCTCATCCTGCGGCACTAACAATGAAATCATCAAAAAACTTATCCAAGTAGCTTGAGATGTGCTTTCATTGTTATTCAACAATTTAATCAATCAGATTCACAGCTATTTTCTTCCATTTTTTCTCTTTCTCAATAACGGTCAATGTCATGTAATAATTTACTAAGAGGAGAGTAGCAAGACACTCAATTATTGGTTAAAATTTATGAAAACTACAAAATTATGGTTTGACTCATTTATTTTTTGAAAAAAAAGTGGGACCTAAAAAAGCTTTCTTTAATAATTTTTAATCAAAATAGTTTGTTAAAAGTTACTGACATATCTCATTTACCGATTATCATATCTTCCTGATGAAAGACTGACAGAACTCCCTTATGGTCTAAGGAACATACTGGAAGATGTTTAGGAGAATCAATGGTAAACACTGCCTTCAAATAACTAAAAGCCTGCATGACAGGAATGCTAACAGGAAGGTTTTGCTTGGGCCGGTGGAAGATATAGATAAAATCAGAGACACCAGTAAAAAGGCAGCAAAATATGAGAAAATGGTTTAGGCCGAGACATAACAGACCAAAGTGATAAATGTTTTGCAAACTCAGGGACTATAGTAATTGGCACTCGCAATTTCAACCCAAAATTAAGAATTTACTTGCATTTTGTTAGACAAGCTTATCTTAATATGTCTATTTCAATCCCCCCAAAACTGATGTCAAACCACGACACTAGGAGTGAAGATCTTATCAGTTCAATCAAAACATACTTAAATTGTTCATTAAAAGTGCACTGTTTGACTGACCTTTTTGGATTTCATCCGTTTGACGACAACAGAATAACAAAGAACAAAGAAAAAAGGATTTGGGAACTGTGCATTCAACTATAGATCACAAATCACTCTTCTTAAGAATCATCTAGTCACATTTGTCATTGCCAAGGAAAGACATACCTCGCTAACCAAGTGCTTCCCAGATCCTCGCCATGGAACTTTACTGGGACTCATTAGCTTATGATTATGCTCCTTTACAAATTTGGTGACAACCCACTTCCCTCCATCCCGTAAAGCCAGCCTTATCATGGCTTGACAACCTTCACGAGTGGCTGGTGGCGGAGGCAGCACCCTATCTTTTCTGTGTACATACTTTTTTGCACGAAAGCCTTCTTTTGAGCAGACAAAATCTTGACCAATAACTTGGTTATTTACTCGTGAACGACGGTTGTGGTGTATTCGTACCGTAAACCCTATTCGCCTACCATAGGCAATGTAGAATTCTCTCGCTTCCTCTCTTGAATTGAACTCCATGCCTATGAATGGTTCAACAGCTTCTATATCTGTTGGAATCTCTGTTGCAGGTAGTTCGACAAACTTCTCATCTTCACTTCCACATAATTCTAGGTCTTTTGAAAATTCATCTATTTTCTGGTGTTTCTCACTAATTTCTGCTTGCATTTCAAGGTCACTATCATCCGAGTCAAATCCTTGGCCAGATTCGTGATCCATAGCCTCACTATTGCAGAAGAATTACTCAAAATAATTAGATTATTCTTCCAAACCAGTTTACCTAATATAAAAATATATTAAAAAAATCCATGGCATATGATAGGTTCTTGGATCAAGAACCTATGGAAAAACACTCGAATACACACAAAGACAATATATCTGAATTATACAGCCTCCTTTTATTGAAAATGAATCAGTAAGAATGGTGTTACAACGTAACCAGAGAGCTTAACCTCCCTCCAAAGAACTACAAGAGTTCCCGCCAAACAATAACACTCAAAGACTCCCCCTCTCACCAACCAACCCACCCCTTTTATACTGACTTACCTAACTGCCAGGCAGTTAGGCTGGGTAATGTTTCTTCTTCTACTAGATACAATTAGTTCCCTAACAGCATATGCATAACTTTAGTACTCTTGACACAACAATCATGTAACATTTCAATTCCATAATAAAACAAAGTAACAAACCAGTGAGACAGTACGTCATTATTGAAGAAGGTCAAAATACACATGACCAAATCATATATAAATTCATAAAAACATTAGTTCTTAAAGTGAAAACATTTCAAAAAGAGTTATTTTCTTTACATCATTTAAGTCATATTAAAATTTTACTATATGTTGCCTTCAAAAACAGTCATAGCATACAACACTGACCTTGGATTCAATGAGGGGAAATTTGATTTCAATGCCGCTAAATTGCTTCTTGACTTGAGAGTTTATACAATATTCATAGTTCTGCAAGTTTACCAAGATTCTCCAAAAAAGAATTTGGCAAGTTAACTCATTTTCTCAACACATTATTGTTAACTCATAAGAGTCTACGCCTTAACATAAAAGTTTTAGACAAACAATAGCTATTTGATTATCTAACCATAAATACTGATAATAACGTTCAACCAGAAAAGAAAACAACAAAAAATCCAAGGAGAATTTGAAAGAGTTTCTATGAAGGATTTCTTATAATATGAGGAGTTTGACAAAGCTTGTGAAAATAATAATTAATCCTCCTTCAAGCTTTGTTTAGTTTATAAAAACAAGTGAAGTTAGTATTTGACCTTATTCCTGTTTGACTTCCTATCTCCTTAGAAGAAGCTCCTCCAGTTATACTCTACTTTCCGATTTCAACTTACCAATCATAAAAAAAAAACTACTTTTAGTTTTTATAGATATTCTTAATTTGTCTGCAGCCTAACTTTCCCATTAGAAAGAAGAGAAGCGTATAAGAAGTTGGGTCAAACATTATCTAAAGGAGCTAGAAGGAGCGCTTGTAACATTAACCTATCAAAGTAATCTCATTGGATTGAGCAATCACAAGTTGAGTCCTCATAAAATGAATTTCGGTTCAAATGTGCAGTTTGCACCTCAACTTCCCAAGGCCATTAGGCGCTAGACTATGTGAAATGAAGGGACAGAGGGCTTCGAGTAGAATCTAATAGTTCTTTATGGGCAGAGAACTTAGGTTCTCTGAAGGAGCTTAGCTCAGTGGCAGCGTGAAAGTTCAATCCCCTGAAGTTCCTACGGTTTTCAGAAATAATATAGACCTTGTTTTCCATAATTGATCTATTTTCTTTGTTAATCGCTATTGTGGCCTTTGGGTTCGTAACATCATCCCTGAGGTGATAAGCTCTTACTGAATAAGCATACACTCAGTTTTTTTATCCAAGCTTCAAATCTAGTATGCTTGGTGCTAACAACAAAATATAGACTATATGTGGATATTGTCCATCCTATTTATTCAAAATTATTGAATGAATATAAGATATTAGTAGCCTTAATTAGAGCTTATAAGCGAATAGAGATACATATTTCACTAACAAAGATCCCAATCTAGATAAGATACCTGTCAAACCCTAGACTAAAAATAATCTCGGACACGGGATGAGTGTATATTAAGAAAGTACATTGATGAATCTAACTATTATTACTTTGTATAAGTAAACAAACAAGAGCATGCTAAATTTCATTAACTAAGAATATATATAGAATTTTTCAAAAAATCGAGAAGATGAAGACAACAGCTTACTACCTGTCCAGCACAAGAACTAACCGAGATAAAATCAGCCAGATTTCAACATTTTACTGTAAAACCTGCAAGAAGAACATGCAAGTTATTAACATTGCATTACAGTTTCCCTTTCAACCATGAACCCCCCATCTAAATTCTGAATTGTCTGTCAAATTGACTGCTCACAAAAACTAGTATTTCCTGATGGAATGTTTCTAAATAGCCGAAAAATTCAAAGCACGAGTTCTAGAAAAAAAAAAGTTGGTTTTCTTGATGAATACAAATTCGGAGCAGAAAAATGACACGGGGAAGAAAAGGTTGAAGAAGCCTTACTTACCCCTCCTCCGATTAGGTCCGCCAACCTAGAGTGGTTAATTTGGATCGGGTCGGGTTTATCAATTTGGGTCTCTCCGAATCCCAAAGAGTCGCAAACACTCAGTCACCATTGATGTACGGACGCATGACCAACAGTGACACCACGGACTGATGCAGTACACGCTCGCAGGTGTCATTTATTTATTTCAAAATTAAAAAATAAATAGGGACAGTTCAAATTATTATTTCCACCACCTGACTACTATTTAAAGACCCACCTACATCTGTAAATGACCTCTTTACCCCCACACGACCCTTTCACAACTTTTTCCGGTCACCTGAGCTAACATTCTTTACTCCTCTTGTTTAATAATTATTGTATGCACTGCGAATATAAAAATTAAATTTAAATATAATTTTAAAAAGCAAGCAAAATTATATGCACGAGTAAATTAAAGAACAAACATATAACTAGTATGAAAATTATATTATTTAAAATCATGTCTATATAATAAATAAAATTATAAAAATTAATTATTATGCTAACTGATAGAAATAAGTATATAAGGACAAATTTTAATAATTTGCGATTGTCGATGGAATTTGATGATGGTAAGGTTTTAATTAATAACTTGTGTTTAGAAATTATATGTTAACAATTTTTAAAAGAATATTAAGTGCATAAAATTCAGTAACTTAAGTGTTATAACAACTAAATCCCCTTGATAAAAAAACATGTAATTTAGTAAAAAAATTACGTAATTTAATCTTATAAATATATCATGTTCGGTTGGGACAAACTTTGATGTATAGTTTTGTTTTCCTTAATAGAAGGAAAATATTCCTTTTACAAGATAAACATCTTTATCAACAAATTATTTTTGTTTCGTGTATAGGGTAAAGTAATTTCTATAAATATTTTCACCATTTTCTTTTAAAAGTCGTAATTGTGACTCTATCCTATTTTCGTTTCAATTACGGGAAGTATTTGTCAAAGGTATTTCAATACTTAAGTCAGTAAATAAATAGTCTGTGTTCAGGGTTAGAGCAACCGTCTTAAATACACAATAAGTTGGATCACCCACTTCTTTATTTATAATTTTTAAGGTTAGCCTAAGATTAACAGAATCTTAGTGACGGTCCAATCTTAACCTATTATACTAATTAATACTTATGTTTAAATTTTTTTCTTAATGTCTTTTTAGTAAGAATGTTATTGAGATTGGTCATTCGGCTTTTATTCATAGCAGGCCGAACGAGTTCTAAGTTTGTTTTAGTTCCATCTCGAGTATTTACTAAGTTGGGTCGTTCGTCCTTTCTTGCCATATAGGGTCATCCGACCATAATAAAAGATTTAAAAGTATGGATAATTGATGGAATATACACAAATTTCATTATCCATGTTTGTTTCTAAAGTAAAAATATATCACTTTTTTATTCTTATATTTAAATTAATTTCCCATCTTTAATTTTTTTGTACAATAAATATATTCTATGTGTATTTGTTTTTTTTATTTTAATATCAATTTATTAATTTTTGTAGTAAATAAAAATTATAAAAATAAAAATAATATTATCAAATAGTTAATGTTAAAACATTACATTTTCATTTTTTTTATATCATAGAAAATAAAGAAGATATTTGTTTTATATTATAAATTAAATAATGAAGATATTTATATTACACCATTAAGCACTTAATCGAGAGTACAAAATTATTATTTATATAAAAAAATAGTAAAATAATTAAATGTGAAACTTAAAATTTATTTGATTCACTAAAATTGAATATACCATTTAAACATGTTTACACAAAAGATGTCTAACCAAAACAGTGATAAGAAGAAAAAATTTAAGTTGAATGGTGATAAATCTGATTCATAAATATTATATTATTGTATTATAATAAATTAAACGTCTTTATATAATTGCAGTGGTAAAATTATAATAATTTAAAAAGTAAAAATAATCACATAAAAAAATCTCAAAATTATATTTTTCATTATAATAATAGATAATAAATAAAAATAGAAAAAAGAAATGAATATCCAAAAACAATTTAATATACTGTTTATAAGTAAAAATATAATAAAATTGAAAATACTCTAAGGATCTAAGCAAAAATTATACTGATATTAAACTTATCAAAACCATTAGGAGATAATAAAAATTATACTAATGAAACCAAAAAAATTCTAAATAAAACAAAAATTCAAAATGAAAAAGTAAATTTTGTATAGAAGTTTTTTAAGTTAATTAATAAATTAAGAATGTTTTAATAATTTAAACAAAGATGAAAATATAAATAAAAATTTATATTGAAATAATACAAAAACAAAAGACAAAGTAATACATGTATATCCTATTTCCATATTCAATTAAAAAAATTTAATACTATTCATATTTACATCCATACTAATAAATATGAAAATTCATGTTAGAATGGATATATATATATATATATATATATATATATATAAACTGACTTGCAATCGAAATGAAACTGATTTATATTTATTGGGAGAAATTTGTCTAATTATATTTATTGAATATATTAGTTTGGTTAAATTTAAATATTGATTGCCAAATATTTTATTAATATCTTAATGTATTTTACTAATATAAAAGGTTACTTTAAAACTGTGATCATTTTAAATTCCAAATAATTTTTTTTTAGGAAAGTATATTGTATATATTTAAAAAACTTACATTAAAACTACTTTTTAATTAAGAGTTGATTAATTTTTTTATATAATATATGATTACAAAATGTTAATATTTACATTATAAATAGTGTGTAATAATATAATACTTAAATTACTTTATAATATTTAATAAAACAGAAGGAAATAAAATAAGCATGTGAAGGTGTTGTGATGTCCGCAAACTACCAAAAAGTTGTGGTACCGTGCGAGAGAGATGGCGGGTACCTACCATAACCAACACCGCCACGTGCTGCAGCTGGTGCTGTCATGCCGGAAAATCACCGCCCAAGTCACCAACACCACCACCTCCTCCATAATAGCCATGGCCTCCTCGTCGGAGCAGGAATTCGCGGCTCACTACCGTGCACAGCTCAACCGGTTCCCCAGATCCCAGCGCTACTGGACGGTAAAGTGGCCTCTCGCGTCGGGGAGAAGCTAGGGTTCCGCCTCAGAGAAATCGGTGTCACCACCGTGCAAATCGATCCTAGCGAGGAACAATCCCGTCCACCACACTACCGCGTCATGGTCTCTCCCTTGTTCCATTCCATCAAAAACGCCGGCGTCCACGTTTCTGGCGTTCACTGATTAATTTACCCCAAATTGTGAGTTTCAATTTTGAGGGTTTTTCATTGTTGAGCCAATTCTTCACCACACACAATAAAATTTTGACTCTGAGTCACTATTCCTAATTCTATTATTATTATTATTATTATTGGGATCACAAATTGTTCAGAAATTACTGAGCATTGTTGTTTTTTGCTCGTATCAACATCGATTGATTAATAACTTGGCCGCTCCAGTTGCCAGATTTTTGTTTGTTTTCTGATTGAGTTGATGGTTGCGAAGTTGTGTTCGGTATCCAAATGGCGTTTGGCATAGTCGTAGAATATTCTAAATAAATTCATAATTCTCCATTGCGGAAAACTGCATGCTCACATAATTTTTGTGGTTTGAATTGAAGTTTTTCTCAATACTATAACGTTATTACCAATGTAGAAATGTGGTTACCAATGCAAGAAAAGTTGGCTTGCAACATTGACTAACCATGAAAATGTAAACAATTTGGGGTTGTTATGAACATCCTTCATACTGCACCATAAAAATTAGAATATATAGAATACATGCAAACCACTGTCTAAAACATTATGGATTGAGTCCAAATTGTCAGTTTATTTTTTGTATTTTTTTATTGATATTAATATATTAAAAGAATTTTTAATATATTTCAAAACATTAAAATCAGTGTGTATTTTAAAAATATAACTGAGGAAAAACATTAAGAACTTAAAAACCTCAAATTGGATAAACCATCCTTCGAGTTTGTATTGTCATGATAAAATATATGCTGAATAACGTTAGACACACTTTTATTTGACATAATTTATGCAAATAAAATAAAATAAAAATTATATATATATTTTTAAATATTTAATGCAATTCTAAAGCGCACTTCACTTTTATTCTCATGTACATTAATCAAAATACAAAATACTTGTACACTTGTATTACAATTATCACATATTTTGTGAGCATGCACTTCTAAAAACCCATTTGAAGCCTCTCACGTCCCATCGATGTTTTATATTTTTCACTACAAGTTTTTAATAATATTTGGTCAATTTCTAAATAAAAAACCACTTCCAATTTAATTATGCGACTCAAATAAAGAATAAAACAAATTTAATTATTCTCACTTTAAATTTAACCTTAATAGAATTTAGTGTGATAATATTTTATTTATAATCTTTTATACAAATTGGAATAATTATAGTATTTTTTTCAACAACATTAGATGGTGTGATTGATCGAGAGACATGTGCAACTAAGTTGGCAAAAAGATGAAAGAAATGATATGGCGTGAGAATATAAAAGTAAAAAGAAAAGAAAAGAAAATAATGGAGTCACTTTCCTTTCCTTCTTTTTCAATTTTACTTTCTAAAAATCAAATTCCAATGTAAAAAAAGAAAAAAGCACCAACCCATAATTTTCGGACCGTTGGAATGAACAACTCCATTTCCCTTTAACCTATCAAGCAATAATTTTTATCCTTCTTTTTGTAAAAAATAAAATAACAAAAGTTCCATTCTTGTGACAAAATTGACACCATATGATGATGAAGCATTGGGTGTAGTCAACTTTGTACTACTCACCACATCAACGTTCCACGGTATGCGATGCTATAATAGCGTAATTTTTGTAATAAATAATAATTTATGCAACATTGATATATTATATGGAAATTACTAATATTGATGATGATAAATGACAACTATGGGTTCATGGTGGTTTGATTATACAACACATTTTGTTCGTAAGAATTAGAACGTTACATTTGATAATAGTGCCAAGGGTAGGGGAAGAGTTGCACCCTGACTCTCTGACTCTGACCCTGACCCATTGCCATTTTTCCTGGTATTTTTTTTTTAATTTAATTTTATATGGTTTTGTTTTGCGTTGGATTTGATCGAGTGCATACAAAGATTTT